GGTCTTGGCAGCCTCATCTGTGAAATGGGGTTATTGCTTCTCTCATCACCTGGTTCTCTGAGGGTTAAGTGAGAATGTGTGTAAGTGGTTTGCATGCGTGAAGAGCTACACAAACATGAGCTACAGTGATTGGTCACACCTGAGCTCTGAGCCCTGTTTTCCAGAAGGGAAGGGTGAGGGAGGGGACAGAGGTAGGGACCCATCAGAGCTTGTCTGTCCTGGAGGAAGGTGAAGGCTTGGTGAACGGTCCCTGGGCAGAACAGATTCCCGAGGGATGGGCTTGGCAGGTCACGGTCTTGGTCCTACATGGATGGGAGGTATCTGTTACCGATACCACCTCAGGCAGGAGAGGTTGGTGAGGGGTGGGGACACACTGGAAAGCATGTCAGGGCCCCAGCTTTGACTACTGGCTCCAGAAGGAGTTGTCACCCTTTCTCTTTGCCTCTGTTTCCTCATCTGTGAAATGGGTGAGCACCCTTATCAGGGTACAAAGAAGCTCATGGGATTCTTCATGGCAATATGATCTGTGATGCTCAGATAAAGGGGGCCAGTGTCTCTTGCAGAATGTGGGGATGGGGATTTCTGTCAAGTGGCAAGAGTATGGGTTTGCAATCAATAGGTCTGGTTTTGCATCCCTGCTTATCTCAGCTGTGTAATTTTAGGAAGCTTACTTACCCTCTCTGAATTTCATTTGTTCGCATCTTTAAAACAGAGATAATAATGCCTCCCACCTAGAGTTATTGTGAGAGTTGAAGGAGAGCCAGCAAGTAACACAGCTAATGGAGCCTGGACGCATGCCAGGCAGGAAACAGGTACAGTCATTTGGATCACCCGCCCATGCGCTGTTGTGTTCCCCACCAGCCTGTCTGCTTTGAGTAAGCCCAGCTCAGGCGGGAGTGGGGCACCATGAGAAGATGTAATTGGCCACTGGTTCAGTTCAGGTCAAATCCTTTGATGACACACTCTAGTACAAAGCTCCCCACGGACAAGGAGCCTTCCAAGTGGGGGCCACGGCAGCCAGCTTCTCAGCCGCATCCTCTATAAAACCACACAACTGCAGCCAAACAGCGGCACTTCCTTAGTCCCCTGCAGGCAGCAACGAGATCGGCTCTGCAGGATTGCAGAAGGTGGGCAGGGAGTCAGGAGGGCTTGGACGTGGCTCTTGCCCTGTTTGGGCCTCAGTTTCCCCATCCACAACCCTGGGGCATTGGACATGATGGCCTATTGTTTCTCTTTTCAGTTCGAGAATCTGATGTTGCTTCTGTGATTCCAAGAGAGGGCTGGGAGGAGCAGTCTGATGGACACTGGACACTTGAAGGCTGAGGTTCTGGTCCTAGCTCTGTGACCTTGGGCGCATACTCATTAATTCACTCCTGTGGTAGGTCCTGGGGATATTAAAGAGGACAAGACAGGATCCATTGCTCTGGCATCTGCTAGTCCAGTGGGGGGCAGAGATGAGCGAATGATCGTCCTGTGGTGTGAGGGCACTGTCAGAAGGCACAGAAGGGCTATGTGGCCACAGAGGACTGAGCCTGGGCTGTCAGGGGAGGCTTTGTGGAGGAGCTGTTCAGGTGAGCTGGGTCCTGGAGGAGGAGGCGGAGGGGTGGGCACCAGAGGAAGGCGCTCTAGGCAGATGGCAAAGCATGTGCAGAGGCATGGTGGTGTGGAAGAGCCCAGTGTGTGTCATTATCCCCTCTGCTCATGGGACCCTAGGAGCTCTGAATGGGGGTGCGTGGGGAGGGGGGGATGCTGCTCCCCGGCCCTGAGCTGGCAGAGTGTGGTGTGGCAGCTCAGATGGGGGATCTGGGACCAGGGTGCCTGAGCACAGACCCCAGCTCTGTAAGCTGCTAGCTGCCGGACCTCAGTCAACGCTTTACACCCCCAGGCCTGTTTTCCTTGCCTGTTCTGTGGGATGACAGTGGCACCTCATTCACAGGAGTGAATGAGGTAATTCATGCAGGGCACTCAGAGCCGTATCTGGCAGTTAGTGCTCAGTAAACATGGGCTCTCCCTTCCCCCTCCCATTTTCAAGATGAAGAAAGATGAAGGTCAGAGGGAGGAAGTGAGCTGTCTCAAGTCATATGGTCCACTGCCTGCAAGTCCAGTCTCCTCCTGCCCCTCCCCTCTTGCCGTTCTCTTCTCCCCCTTCTTTCCCTCCCTCTCTGCCTTGCTTTCCTCCTCCCTCCCTCCCTCCCTCCTCCCTTCCCTTCTTCTCTCCCTCCTCCTGCCCTGCCTCTTCCCTTCCCTCCCTCCCTTCCTCGCCATCTCCCAACTCTGATACTTCATCTGCCCTGAGCCCACCTGGGAATCTCTCAGGATGCCTGGGGCCAACGTGTGGCTTTGATCAGACCAAGGGCATCTCTGGGGGTCTAGCCCCCTGGGTAAACCCGCTGGGTTGGGAGCCTCTGGGCCTGTGCTGGGATCTGGGGCTGAACCTGGGCTGCCCATTTGTCCCTCTCTCCTCCTATCACCTCCTCCCTCCCCTCATGCTCACAGCCACCTCAGGAGGGAAAGCAGGACCTGGGATCTGTCTTCTGAGACAAGCAACCTCCAGGCCCCCCCACAGGGAGACTGAGGTCTGTCCCCTCCCGCTGACGTCCATCACCAAAATGCATGGCTCTCAAACAGCCAAGAGTGGCCCCAGAACCCCAGTGACCAGGAGCTTCCTCCTCACCCGTCAGAGGCAACTGGAGGCCAGTTTGCAAACTTGGTAATGAGGAGCCTCCCTCCCCTCCTCCATGGAAAGCAGAGAACAATAGCGCACTCGGCGACTGAGAGCCAGACTGGAGGCGTGCGCTAATGAGTGTGCACGTTGCACCGCCCTCGGAAACCAGGCGCGGGCTCTGGGCACGCAGCGACTGGGGGTTGAAAGCCAAGTAGGGCCCCCAGCTCTCCCCCCATCCCCCACTCTTTTTTTTGTGTTGTCTGCATCACTGCCCAAACCAATCTCTCTCTTCATGCTGAATTTTTCTAAAGCCAAATTGGAAAAAATTGGAAATCATCTGCACGCTACTCCCCCTGGGCTCCAAACGGTCCTCACAGGGGAACAAAGTATGCTATTTTAATTTATAATAATGATAATAATTATTATTATTATCATTAGCCACAACAATAACAATGCCAATAATCCTGCCCATGGGTAGGCCGATGTACAGCTGTGAGTTCACTCGGGCCCCGTCTGTAATCCAAGGAGGCCAAATGCCCAGTGACTGCCAGCTGGGGTGGGGGCCGGCCCAGGGCTCCCAGGTCCTGCTTTTCCCATGTCCTGGGGAAGGGATCACATTAGCAACACATTTTTCAGCAGACGTGGCAGGGCGCCTGCTCGGGGACAGGCTCCTGGCATGTCAGATGGAGAAGAGGGGCTCTCTGCGCTCACTGGGCCCCAGTGGGATGGTGGAGGCAGGCTCCTTAACCAGGTAATCTCAACCCCCCACAATAAGGGCTGTGCATGGCCCTTGGGAGGCCCTCAGCTCAACAGCTGTAGTCGGTTTGGGGAAGGTCTCAAATGCCTCAAATTTGATGAGTTTGGATTTCATTGCAGATATCACAATTTCTTTCAACTTTTCAGAAGTGTGACATGTACAGACAAACGCATATAGCGTAAGGACGTAGTTCAGTGAACATAGCCGTGTAACCAGCCCCCAGATTAAGAAACAAAGGCCCCCTGTGCCCCCTTCCAGTTACTCCGCTGACGAGGAAGACCACTCTCCTGACTTCTAACAGCATGGATAGTGCTGCCTCCTCGTATTTTATGGGAGTGGAATCATGCACACTATGTCATCTTTGTGCCTGGCTTCTTTCCCTCAATATGCGTGACATTCATCAATATCGTGTATGCAATTGCTGATTGTTCACTTTCACTACTCTGTGATCTTGCGTCGTATGAAGATGCTGCAATTTGCGTGTCCATTTGTCGTCGATGAGCCTTTGTCCAGTTCCGAGTTTGGGGCTGTTGTTAACTAAGCTCCTGTGCACATTCTTGTCCATGTTGTTTTCTGTGCCTACGTGCCCGTTTTTGGTGGGTTAAACCTAGGGGTGGAAACATTGCATCTGCGTACGTGCAGCTTTAGGAGCTGTGGGCAAACAGTCTTGCAAAGTGGTTGCACCGATTTACATCACTGGTGTTTAGGAGCCTCGGATCTGTCAGGAGTGCCTTCAATGCCACGAATTGACTTCAGTGGTCCTCGGCTTTTTTGATGCTGTAGACCCTTCGATAACATGACGGAGGCTGAGGAATCTCTCCCCAGACAGAAACTCACAATTTGGCATCGGATTTCAGTAGATTCATGGGCCCTGTGGAGCTCAGCCCGGCCCAGGGACCCTGAGGAGACCCCTGCTCTGAGCTCTGAACTCTAAGATGGGCTGTACACATCTGGACTTGAGGTTTTAAATTCTTCGACTGGATGGAAGACTTCAAACTGAACAGGGCATCAGCAAAGCAGGGGCACCAAAAATGTAACAAACAAGTTTAGAAAAATATAAAGCCATTTTGGAAAGAATTTGATGTTTGAGAATTTTACAAAAAGCGTGGAAGTAGTCTTCAAATGAAAAATCATAACATTGTTGGATATCCTTGTACATGCTTAACAGATTAGAATTAATTTCATTTTACACTATGTATGGGAGGCACATAATATTTTCAGGGCTTAGCGCTTCTAAATGTCTTCACCCTGCCCTGGTGGGATCCGTGAGCCCAGCAACGACTTCTTGCCCCTCCCTTTGTGTAAGTTGGGCAATCCCACGCTGCACTGGGGCATGCACCGATGGAGGTTCCCTGGCTGAAGGGCTCGTGGACTTGCCGTCTCACTGGATCCTCACCACAGCCCCGCCAGGGGGCCCAGCTGTGTGTCATCATGGCCCACTGTAAGGAAAACGGTGGCTCTGTGGGTCAGTCACCTCTGCAGGTGAGGAGGTTGCCTCGCCTGTCCTAGGAAGGTGGCTGCAGGAACTGGGCTTCTGGTCAGAGAGCAGAGGTGTGGTGGGGGTGGGAGCAGAGAGCTGCTGCCACACGTCTGCAACATCACTCTGGCGAAGAAGGAGCTCACCAAAGAGTAGTGCTGGGATGGATGGATAGAACCTCAATAAAGATGGGTTTCTGTTTCACATGAGAAAGGGTGTCTAAGAGTTACAACTGTGTAATGGTGGAAGCCAGGTGCTTGATAGGTCGTGAGCTCCTTGTGCCTGGAGGCATGTAAGCTGATGCCAGATGGCCACTTGGCAGGGATGTTGATGGACTGAAAGATCAAGATTTCCTTGAACCTTGAGATTTGCTGGCCTCGGAATCTAAATTTTCTGATCCCTTCTCAGTGCTCTTTATGCCTCGCGGATCACCTGACAGAGCTCAGTTCTCATGCTGCACTGACCAGCCTGTGAGGGGGGCGGGGTCCTGCATCAAAGAACCCAAGTCGCAGTAGGATTGACAGAGCACGTCTGCAGAAAGTATTCGAGATCTCCCAGCAGCAGGGACCCATACAAGCAAGTCTCCGCGGATTCCGGCAAGTATTTTCCCTTTCATAAAATGTGGCACAACATCACCTCTGTTTCCCTTGAAAAGCCAGTGTGGAGAGGAAGTGTTGCTGGATGGCCCCATCCTCTGAGCACTGGGGGCATCAGCCTTGGTGGTTTCCTCACACTGTGTTGAGGCCTCCCACCCCACTAGACCCTACTCCTGAAGAGACAGCTGGAAAAGTCCACGGCTGCTGGTTGAGGAGCTCAGGGGCTCCTGGGCCACCTGAAGAGGGAAAGATTTCAGTGGCATGCAGGACCTCAACTGGGGCCCCTGGGATGAAGAATTACCCTGTCCAGCTCCCTCGGAGCAGTCCTTCCCTTGAGTTGCCATCATTGAGTCTGAGCCTTGCTGTGTTCTCCTCCCTCTGCATCCCCCTCTCTCCACCCCCTCACTCTCCCCTCTGCCTTAGCACAGGCACTCACCCTCGCTTGCCTGGCCTAGTGCTGTAGATACCACTCCAAGCTCATCTCCTCCAGTCTCTCCTTGCTCTGAGCCAAGCATGCTAGATGCCTGGCATGAGTCCCCCAGCACCCACTTCACGCCATTAGAGACCTCACTCTCCAGTTAGTTCAGTTCAGTCTCAGGACTCCTCTCTGAAAGCCTCTAACAAATGATTAATTCACCTGAGGGGGCAGTGACGGGGACACGGATTTGCCAAATGTACCTCCATGCTTTCGACAGAGCACCCTCTCAAAGATGAGAACACAACTCACATTACGTCATCCCCTTCCTGCCTCCCCAACTCCCCACCACACACATGTGAAAGCAGTTTTCCAAATTTCTCCAGTGCTTCACAGTGAAGGCCCAACTCAGCCATGTGGTGCTTGAAGCCTGCCTCAACTTGATCTGGAGTGTCCTCTTCCCATAGCCTCATAAGCTTGCTCCGTTTTCATTTGGAAAGTGTGAAGAAAAGTAACCCCCGCAACAGCTGACCCCATCTATCAGGTCTACCCCTCAGGTCCTAAAGACATTCCATGCGTCCTGTCTCTAAGTGATTGCTCAGGTTGTTCCCATGGCCCGAAGTGTCCATCCCACATGCTCCAGTGTCCAGGGATGTCTGGAGTTAGCATGATGCTAGGTAGATACACAGAACCACCGAGCTTGGAAGGGTCTTAGTGCACCCCCGGATGGAGCCCCTGGTGACCCCTCAGCCACATCTCTGCAGAGCAAAGCCAGACCCATCTCTCATGGCCCAAGACGGCCTCTCAGTGCACCCAGGTGAAACTCTGTCTGTTTTCCTCGGGGTCCTCATGCTATCAGAGTGGCAGCTGCTCACTGGCAGCTTGCTGTGGGGGAGGAAACACTTGGCTTGGCATCAGAGGGATCTGATTCAAATTCTATGTGTGTGTATGTATGTGTGTGTGTGTGTGTGTGTGTGGACGCTTATTGGCTGTATGACCTGGAGCAATGCATTAAGCTTCAGATCCTATCCTTCTCTGTAAAACAGGAATAATACAAGAAGGTTAGTGTGACAGTGTGACAGCACTAGGCTTGTCCTGTTGAATCTGCATCCTATCTATGACATTTGCATGAGACTCTCTCCGCCACTGGACTCTGAGCCCTGAAGGGGAGAGTGGGCTCTCATGAACCTTTATATCCTCATCCAGCTCTAGGCTGGTGCACCTAGCGGGTGCCCAATAAATGACTGTTGAGTAAATTAAGTCAACAAGAATGGATGGAGTGTCATCTCCAGAGTGTGCACTGTCTCAAGATTTGGAGATTTGATGATGACATGGCAGAGATGGCCCCTGTTCACAGGCACACATCAGTGAGGGCAGGCAATCAAACACCAAAAAGACAACTAAATAACCATGATGATTTGGTTCCTGGAAAGTTCTATGAAGAAGGCAAAATAGATTGATATAACGAGGGCCACTTTAGTTTGGGGTGTCAAAGAAGGTCTCTCTGTGCATGTGAAGGTTGACTTTAGAATTAAGTGACTTCTGGAGGCAGATGTTCAAACATCCCAGGGAAGAGTGTCCCCAGGGGAGAGTGTTCCCAGCAGAGAAAAGCAAGTGCACAGTGGATAAGCTACTCTCTCTGTGCATGCAGCCACCGTACCCCCTACCTGGAGCAAGCCTTTGGGTGGAGCTGCTGGGCTCTGCATGCTCTTTTCAGCTCTCCACATTGTTTGCTGAGTGGACCTTGCTGGTCTTAAAGAAGGCTCCTGAACTTCAGAGTTTATGACAAATGTCTAGTTCCTGACCCTGCCCTGGATTGTGGGTTGATGAGGGGGGCTCTGCAGTCCAGGTGTCCAAGGAGCCCCTTGGAATACATTCCACCTCTGCTAATCCAGCCTCAGCTGCCAAGTCCAGATAACACTAAGCCCTGAACTGGGATCCTGAGCAGAAATCCCAATTCATATTTAATACACAGTTATGGTCAGGCTAGTGATCAGCAGATGTTAGATCTACAGATGTTAGACGTTAGATCTAATTCAACCCATTGGAGTTGAATTAGCACAACAGATACTTCTTGTTAGGATAGCCTTAGCTGCCTCATTTGCATATTCAGATAAGGGCAGGGACCATAGAAGGACCACCAGGGCTGTGAAGACCCTCAGACATCCTTTAGTCCTGAGGGGGAGTCACACAGTGAGTTGGTGACAAGGCTGAAACTGGATTCCACAGCACATGCCAATGCTTTCACCTAGAGCTCAGTCCAAAATCCTAGGAGTGCTATGTGACTCTGCTTTCTCTCTCTTCATATCAACCCAACCGTAAACCTGTCAGTTCTGCTCCCTGGGTGTACCTGCCTTGCTCCTCTTCTCTCCTTCACCCTGGTATCAGCTCATTTCAACAGCTTGCTCAGGGTCTCCCTGGCCCCTGGTTTCCCCTCCCTTACGCTCTTCCACTCAGACCATTATGGTCTTTGGAACATGTAGATCAGATCATGTTGTTCCCGGTTAAAACCCTCTAGTGGCTCCCCACTGAACTTGGAAGGAAGTCCACATTCCTTACCATGAGGCCTGTGTCCACATCCCGCTGTCCCACCCCCACGTGCCCTCCGTGCTCCAGCCACACTGCTCTGTCCATCTGTTCCGCAGCTCTCAGCTTGCCCCCATCCAGGGCTTTGTGCTTGTTCTTCCGTCTATCTGGGTCACACTTCTTCCAGATCTTACACGGATAGTTCCTTTGTGTCCTTCAGGAGAAGGGTTGGTAAGCCTAAGGGATGCTGGCTCTGTGTGTGTGTGTGTGTGTGTGTGTGTGTGTAAGTACTGGGGTGTATAAGCATTCGAGGAGAGAGTTCAAGGAGGCGAAGAGACCATACAGAGGACACTTAATGGAAAGGAAGCAATGTAGAAAGAGGAGAGGCTTTGGAAATAGAGGGACCTGGTTCAAATCCCTATTCTAACACTAAACGGCTGTGTGATCTAGGCCAAATTACTTACCCTCTGGGCCTCAGTTTCTTCACCTAGAAAAGTGAGAATTCTCATCCATCTACTCTTCAGGGCCATTGCGGAGGCAAGTGATAACCTAGATAAAGGATCTGTTTCAGTGGCTGACACAGAGTCAGTATTTAATAAATAGCAATGTTTTAATTTTAAATATAAGTAAATATAAAAGAAAGACATGAGCCGGGACTCAGAGGACTGGTGTTCATGCCACTAACTGGCTGTGTGACCTTAGTCAGCCAGCTGCCCCTCTCTGACTTTAGACACCAACATCCCACAATTTGGGGGAGCCACTGTGTTTTCTCCCATTGAACCTTTCTGATGAGTGAGATCAGGCCAGCTCTAAGTACCATGAGGGAGGCTACAGAATATTGAGAGTAGGGTCCCAGATTTGAGTTGGGGGAATCTGACACTCTCTGTAGGTGAAAAGATGCACATAAGAGCTATTATTTTGGGGCTACCTACTATGAATTGTGCACAGTGCCAGGAGTTTTTTATATGTTGACTTAAACCCTTAGGTCAATCTCACTAATTAGGTGTGCTCATCCCCATTTTACCGAGGAGAAAAATGCCAAGAGTTTGGTGATTTGCCAGAGGCCATTCAGATAGTAGTTGGAGGGGTTGCCATCTGACTTTAAGATTCAAAGTCCATTTTCTTTTGACGAACCACAATATGGAAGTGCCCTCTGAAGCTGTGATTTCCAATATGGTAGCCACTAGCCAGAAGTGGCTAGTTACATTTATATTAATTTAAATGAAATAAAATAAAAAATTCAGTTCCTCGGTCTCACCAGCCACATTTCAAGTGCTCAGCAGCCACGTGTGGCTACCATATTGAAAGGTGCAGATACCAAACATTTCCATCATCGCAGAAAGTTCTGCTGGACAGTGCTGCCCTGAAGAGCAGCGAGCCACAGCTATGAGAGGCCAGATCCTGGGCTGGGAAATGTGAGTAATGGCACAGTGGCTGCACGTTACTGGACACAGATTAGCGTGCTCAGACACAGGAAACCCTCACCACGGGGCAGGAAATGTGGTTGCCTTGGGAGGTGCAGGAATGACTGCTCTCCTACACTCCCGCTCGTTCTGGTGTGCCATGCTCTTGGGAGCACTCGAGGAGCATGTGTTAAACCCCTTGCTTCTCTGAGCGTGGTTCACCAACCAATAGCATCAACAAACCTGGGAGCTTGTTAGAAATGCAAAATCTCAGGTCAGCATCCCAGACCTGCTGCATCAGAATCTACGTTTTAATGAGATCTCCATGTGATTCCCGTGCACATCATGTTTGAGAAGCACCAGGCTATACCCTGCTCTGCAACAGTCACAACTGCGCTCAGTGCCAACTCTTCCAGAAGAGTCTTCTAAGCCCTACGAAATCCATGTGTTAGAGCCGTCCAGTCAGTCATGAGGCTCTGGCATTGAAGCATCTTTTTTAGAGATGTAGCACAGATCATTTTTTATTTCTTTCAGGTTGTACATGTCTAAGGTCAAAACTAGCAGGACCCTTAGAGATAATCTAGTCCCAACTGCTCATCTTGTAGATGGAGAAACTGAAGGCCCGAGATGGAAAGCAGCTTATCCAAGATCATACAGCAGTGTCAGAGCTTAAACCAACATGACACGCAGGTGTTTCAGCTAAACATGATACTCAGCCAGCAGGAAAGCACAAAGCTGCAGTGGGAGGACCTGGCGCTGACTTTCCACCTTTGCCAAACGAGATGAGCATATATTATTATCCCAACCCTGTCCGAGGAACTGATGTAGGTCCCCATGGTTACCCTTTATTGGGCACTCACTGTGTACCGCTTTTCTAAGTGTTTGTGCGTGTTATTGCACAGGGTCCTCACAGCAAATCTATGATGTAGGCACTGCTGCTACCTCCTCTTCAGAGATGAGGACGCTGGGGCACAGTGAAGTAAAGGAGCTTGCCCAACATCACACAGATAGTAAACAGTGGAGCCAGGATTCAACCCCCGCGTCTGGCTCCACCGCGCACGCTCTTCTCTTCCCCTGTACGTTGACTAGGTAGAGAATTCGCAGGGGAAGGGGTTCACTGGACACCTGAGGCTGCACAAGGCAAGAGAAAGTCTATTGTGGACACTCGGTTGTCTGTAGATCAGCTCCTATGATGGTTACAGTGGCTGACCACCCCAGATGTCCCACTTGGAAGGGGTGAATTCCAAAGTCACTCATTTTACAACACATAATGACTATAGGTAATAATACTGTATTGCGTATTTGAAAGTTGCTAAGAGAGATCTTAAAAGTTCTCATCACAAGAAAATAAAATTTGTAACTACGTATGGTGATGGATTTTAACTAGACTTATTGCGGTGACGTATACGCAAATATCAAATCATTGTGTTGTACACCTGAAACTAATATAATATTATATGTCAGTTATACCTCAATTAAAAAAAATAATGAAAAAAAAGGAACACACAATACCTGAAATGACATGTAGACTCACTGGCTTTAGAACTTTGATTTTTAGAACTTGAGAGAGAGTGAGGTGGGGTGAAAAGAATAGTTATCATCTTAACACGTGATGCGAGAATTCCTCTTAGGGAGATGACTGACTTGGTTTAAGAAAATAGTAACTTGCTTGGTTGAAGAAGGTGAAACCCTATGAGTATGAGTTGGAAAGAGATGAAGAAACAAAAAGAAGCTAAACCACTGCGTGGGGAAAAGATTATCAGAAATCTGGGTACGGGGGAAAGAAGAAAGGGGAAAGGAGGCTGGCTGAAAAATACATTGCCAGAAATGACCAAGGGACTTCTTTAAAAGAGAAATCTAATATTTAACTTAATTTTTTTCTGTATTACCGTGATATGCTGTCATCCCAAGCCCTTCTTTCTTCTTAATTTCAGTGATGTGTGCCTTGTACACAAGGTCTTATGTGTCTGTGTGTGCATGCACAATGTACATGTATTGAAGGAAGGAGCTGACTTTCTCTCTGGGTGGGGTTCTGAGAATATCCACACATGATCTAATTCAAGGAAAGCAAAATCTTCTAGAGAGACGTGACTAGCAAAAATATGAGCCACCAGTGGAAAGCATTTATTCCTTTTGCTGCCCATTCATCGAATCATTCTTCCAAGATATATTTAGTGAGCAACTACTATGTCGAAGGTAATATATGAGGTCAGAGCAGCAGTGGAGGTTGTGGAGAGATGGTGCAGGGTTTTTGTGCTTTTATTAAGACTTTATTCTGAATGAAAAGAGGAATCACCACAGGGTTTTGAGCAGAGGAAGGAGTTGTTCTTGTAGTTTTGAATCTGTCTGGACACTAGGGTGATAATGGATTATGAAGGAGGAAAGGATGGAAGCAGACGGACCAATCGGAAAGCTATTACAGCAGTCCTCACAACCTGTGTAGGTTGTCGGAAGGGGGTAGCTGTGAGGCATGATTATGGATTATTATTATAAAATATCAAGGAGGCTGTGGGTATGGACATCTGGAATTTAGGAGAAATGTCCAGGCTGGAGATATGAATTTGAGAATCATCAACCCATAGATGGAATTTAAACCCTGAAATGAGAGCTTTCCTCAGTCTCATCCCTGAGATTTCCAAGACAGTGAGAGCAGACTGAAAACAAAAGACAACCGGAGACTGAGTCCTGGGGGATTTCATTCAGCCCTTTGAAACCACTTTGTCAAGGTCACCAATGCCCTTGCTAAATCCAAAGGTCCTTCCCGGTCCTCATAGTATTTGACCTATGTTTGAGTTAGGTTTCTTTCACGTGCAAGCCAAAGAGTCATGATTAATACACCGCTCCTCCAGAATTCCTGGAGATATCAGGAAGGATGCAGGGAACCCTATATGTGGGAAGTAGTTTCAGCCAAATTTATTTGGATCTCAAAGGATATTAGGCAACTTTATCTGATTTCTGGGATACAAAAGAATCATAGATGTAGAATATACAGTGATGGGATATTTAGAATATAGCATTACGGAGTATTGAAACTAGAAGATGCAAAGGGATTCTTGAGCTGACTGGTTTTTTAAAATTTCCAATTCCAATCACTCATTGTTGGTATATGAGAAAGTGATTGACTTTGCGTATGGACCTTGTATCCTGTGACTTTGCTCTACTGCTTATTTGTTCCAGGACTTTTTAGAGACCTGTTGGGATTTTCTCCCAGACCATCATGTCATCTGTGCATAAAGACAGCTTCATTTCTCCCTTTCCAATATGTACATTTTAATTTCTCTGTCTTGTCTTATTGAGCCAGCTAGGACTTCAGTACAATGTGGAATAGCAGTGCTGAGAAGGGACATTCTTGCCTTGTTCCAAATCTTAGGGAGAAAGCACCCGGTTTCTCATCATAAAGTATGATGTTCGCTATAGGTTTTTTTGAGAAATTTGAGAAAGTTGAGAATTTTGCCAATAGTTTGCTGAGAGTTTTTTATTTTTATTTTTTTTTATCATGAATGGGTGTTGAATTTTGTAAGATGCTTTTGGCATCAATTGATATGATATGAATTTTTTCTTTAGCCTTTTGATGCGGTGGATTACGCTGATTGATTTTCAAATGTTGAACTAGCCTTGCCTACCTGGAATAAATCCCACTTGGTCGTGGTGTATAATTCTTTTCATACATTCTTGGATTTGATTTGCTAATATTTTGTTGAGGATTTTCCATCTACGTTCAC